TTCAATTCACAAGTCTCTGTATTTTGGTAATAGTTTATGCTTTTACATTTGGGTTTCTCTTTGCAGAACATCACGCAAGATTTGATGGTTGCAAATGGTACAGTGGCGAACGCATGATCTGCGAGAACTCGATTTTGAACAGAGTAGGTTGCGTTTTGGCATTGCGCACCTGAAGAGTATGACACAGCTACTTGCCAAAAGGTAATCAAAATGGAAGTTGCTATGACAACTTTGGTCAGGTGCATAAGCATTGTCCTAGAAACAAACAGACAAAAAACGAATAACGAAAAATAAAAAGGAATTGTGATTAACATCAATTTTTTCCTTCCCTTGTGAAGAAAACAAGCTTATATTTGAGCCCTTTCAAAATAGTGTACAGCACAATTTTAATTTGTTCTTTTAAAGCTCTTGCAATGATATACAGCTGAAGACTTGTTTTTCGAAAAATCTAATTCATAGAGGGCACTGTCAGTTAGTCACAAAATACAAGTTCTAGCCTCTCCTGTCGAAGTTAAGCACAAAACTGATTCTTGTTTTTATTGTATAGCTGGTAAGTCACCAGGGAAATATGAAGCGAATCCTGCGTTCTGATTAGCTACTCGAGTGGGTAAGAAAGGCCTATCTTACTCGCTCGGGATTGCCCACTTTGATCCCGCTCAAGAAAAGAGTGCATGCCGTGGAACGGACTCACAAACCTTTGGAAAATATCGGCGATGAAGCGTAGTTAAAGCAAACTAGGTGAGAAAGATCGTGAATAGTTTAAACAAGTGTCAAAGTAGAGCCTTATTTGACAGTTTTGTGCCTAACTTGGACAGTAAAGGGAAAAATTTTTCAACAATCATGTAATAATTCCTTTTTTCTGTTGTGATGTTTTATTGCTTTAAACAAACTTACACTGCTGCTTCCCATCTCAAAGTAAAGACTAGCGGGTTGCTTTTGCACCTTGTAACTAAGAAATAGAAATGTCTCCCCGTAGCGCCTTCATAAGTCACAAACTGACAATGCATTTTAAGCTCAGAGGCCGAAAGTTAAGTTAAACGTCTTAAAAAAAAAAAAACTTTGGCTTACCGTAACGGTGAGTTTTTCGCTTTGCAACGTCAGTTGTCTTTGATTCGCTGCAAGAAGTGTCTGGGCTGGCAAGCGAAAGAGAAAGTTTTGGGGCAAGTCATAAAACCGGGTCAAATTGAAACACAACGGGGTGTTTGCCATGAAGAATTTAAACAGTTTATTGGTTAGCGTGGGAACACACTAAACACTACATATCCTCGTTCATTATTCATCATAATTTGGATATATTAACAAAGTTGAAATGGTAATTGGGCCACCGTAACGATAACAAAAGCTGACGTTTCGAGCGTTAGCCCTTCGTCGGAGCGAAGGGCTAACGCTCGAAACGTC